CTATTGTTCATTCTCCAAGTGATGTATTCTTTTCCCTTCCTTCTTTTATCATTGATTTTCAGTTCCATTCCATTATGATCAGATAGGATGCATGGTATTATCTCTAGTCCTTTATATTGTCTAAGAGATTCCCTGTGACATAATATATGATCTATTTTTGAGAAGGATCCATGTGCTGCTGAGAAAAAAGTGTAACTGCTTGATGTTGGGTGGTATATTCTATATATGTCAATTAAGTCTAGGTTATTAATTGTGTTATTGAGTTCTATAGTTTCCTTATTCAACTTTTGTTTGGAAGATCTGTCCAGTGGCGAGAGAGGTGTGTTGAAGTCTCCCATGATTATTGTATGGTGGTCTATTAGACTCTTGAACTTGAGAAGAGTTTGTTTGATGAACATAGCTGCACCATTGTTTGGGGCATATATATTTATGATTGTTATGTCTTGTTGGTGTATGGTTCCCTTGAGCAGTATGTAGTGTCCCTCTTTATCCCTTTTGATTAACTTTGGCTTGAAATCTATTTTATTTGATATGAGTATGGATACTCCTGCTTGTTTCCGAAGTCCATATGAGTGATATGATTTTTCCCAACCTTTCACCTTCAGCCTATGTATGTCTTTTCCTATCAAATGCGTCTCCTGTAGGCAGCATATTGTTGGGTCTTGTTTTGTGATCCATTCTACTAGCCTGTGTCTCTTGATTGGTGAGTTTAAGCCATTAACATTTAGGGTTATTATTGAGATATGGGTTGTTCTTCCAGCCATATTTGTTTATTTATGTTACTAAACATGGTTTGTTTTCCTCTTTGATTATTTTCCCCCCTTTACTGTCCTACCTCCCACTGTTGGTTTTCATTGTTATTTTCCATTTCCTCTTCCTGTAATGTTTTGCCAAGGATGTTTTGAAGAGATGGTTTTCTAGCTGCAAATTCTTTTAACTTTTGTTTATCGTGGAAGGTTTTAATTTCATCTTCCATCCTGAAGCTTAATTTCGCTGGAAACACAATTCTTGGTTGGAACCCATTTTCTTTCAGTGTTTGAAATATGTTATTCCAGGATCTTCTAGCTTTCAGAGTCTGTGTTGAAAGATCAGCTGTTATCCTGATTGGCTTACCCCTAAATGTGATCTGCTTCCTTTCTCTTGTAGCTTTTAAAATTCTCTCCTTATTCTGTATGTTGGGCATCTTCATTATAATGTGTCTAGGTGTGGGTCTCTTATGATTTTGCACATTCGGTGTCCTGTAGGCTTCTAGGATTTGGGGTTCTGTCTCATTCTTCAAGTCTGGGAAGTTTTCTCGTATTATTTCATTGAATAGATTGCTCATTCCTTTGGTTTGAAACTCTGTCCCTTCCTGTATCCCAATGACTCTTAAATTTGGTCTCTTGATGTTATCCCATATTTCTTGGATGTTCTGCTCATGGTTTCTTAACAGTCTTGCTGAGCTGTCTATGTTCTTTTCAAGTTGAAATACTTTATCTTCATTGTCTGATGTTCTGTCTTCTAAGTGTTCTACTCTGCTGGTAGTATTCTCAATTGAGTTTTTAAGTTGGCTTATTGCTTCCTGCATTTCTAGGATTTCTGTTTGTTTGTTCTTTATAACCTCTATTTCCCTGTATAGTTGATCTTTTGCTTCTTGGATTTGTTTATGTAATTCATTGTTGAAGTGATCTTTCATTGTCTGATTTTGCTGTCTGATGTCTTCCTTGAGACTCCAGATCATCTGAAGCATGTATATCCTGAATTCTTTATCTGACATTCCATCTGCTGCAGCTATTACCTCTTCTAACGTTGAGTTGACCTGCAATGCTTGTGGTCCTTTCTTTCCTTGTCTCTTCATACTGTTCGTGTTCCTTTCTACTTGGTGAAACTGTTGTGCTATTGAATTTTCCCCCTATATATTTATATTGGTCTTGTATAGTTGCAAAGTCTCCCTAGCAGGCGCGGGCGGTGGCTCTGTCCCTCTTCGGGCCGCTAGGCTTGTTCTGTCAGTGGTCACAGTTCTGTCTACTTTGCAGGCGCAGGCAGCGGCACTGCCCCTCTGCAGGCCTCTGGGGCTGTACTGCCAATGGGTCGCAGGTGCGCCTACCTTGCAGGCGCGGGGGGGGGGGGGCAGCTCTACCCTTCCTCAGGCCACTGGGCCTGTTCTGTCTCTTGGTTGCAGGTCTGGCCTGTTCTGATGGTGGTCACAGTTCCGTCTCCTGAGTCTATCTTCATGATGTCCACTGTCAGCAGGTTGACTGACACCTGGGTAGGCCACACCCAAGGGCACAGTAAGACACACACAAGGCACTTCCATGGAAGATTCTATCCTGAACAGGGCAAGGGGTTATATTACAAAGGAACAGGTGAGCGTAGCTCCACCCATGGGGCTGTAGCAAGACACACCCATGCAGGAGACACCGACCCTCGAACCCAAGAAGGGTGGGGAAAGCTCTGCCACATTTCTGTGACTGAGCGCCTCAGCACCCAGCCGGGGAGTGTGACTCAGTCACATGCAAGGTTGGTCTCCCACAGAAAGGTGTTTTCATTAGCAAATGGGGAGAAGCCTTTAGTGCCTGACTGCCCGCTTAGCTCACTTCCCTCACCATGTGGGGAATTATGGCTGTCAACAAATGCAAACCAGCTTTTGCATAACAAAGGCTAAACAAGCCTGAGTCCTTTTGTCTCCGGTGAAAAGGCCATCTTCTGTTGCCTTTTCATTATTTCATCTGGATAAGATTTAGCTTTGGGGTGGAGATAGACCGTGTCTTCAGAGTCTTCAATTTCATTTCCTTTCAGAACACGTCTGTATTGTTGTACTTAAACCTACCTCATGTTGGAGTTTTTTTTCTTGCTGTATCTCTGTACCTCTGTATTCTGACCAGTGGTTTACAACTAAGGTCAGTTTGGCCCTTCAAGGGACATTTGGCCATGTCTGGAGACATTTATAGTTGTCACAACCGGGAAAAGGATGCTCCTTCCATCCTGTAGGTGGAGGCCAGGGATGCTGCTCAGTATCCTCCCCCAAGCAGGTTGGTCCCTCCACACATATTATTCAGTCCAAATGTAGACAGTGTCAAGGTTGGAAAACCCTGATCAAGAGAAGATTCTTGAGGGCATCTTCATTTCCGTTATATCTAGCAAGCCGAGCACAAGTTCAATAAATACTGAGCTGAAAGAAAGCAGGAGGAAGTGATGATTTATGGAGAAAAAGGGGGACTTAGTTTGGAGTGCGTCAGTTTTGAGAAGTCAGCTGGATATCCAGGGGGCTGGCAGTCTGAGGAGAATCAGAACAAGACTTCTAGAGCCATTCATTCATTTGTGGCAGTTTTATTGAGGAACTATTTTGTGTGAGGTGCCCTGCCAGATGCTGTGGCAGCAGAGATGAGCAACTCAGTCCTCACACATAAAGAACCCCTGTTCTACAGGGAAAGGGAGATGCACAGAAGTAGATCTGTCATAGGCAAGCTTTGTGGGAGCCCAGAGGAGGCACAGCCAGGACAGTCTGAAGAACTTGAGGATGACCTGAGCATTGGCCAGAAACAGGAAGGACCCCCGTAAAGGTCTCTGGGGTAAAGAAGAAGAACAAGGTCTGGAAGTGGGAAGGGCTGTGCGAAGAGAGAATGGTGGAAATGCATGGCTGGGCTGCAGTGAGAGGATCATGTGGCCGGGGACATGTCATAGGAATAGGAATAGAGGTGGGAGCCAGGACAGTCATAGGAATAGGAATCATTGTTCTTTATTTGGAGAAGGATAGGAAGCAGTTATAGGTTTGGGTTTTGTTGTTGTTGTTTGTTTGTTTGTTTGTTTTTCCAGTTATCAGCATCCATTTTTCCTGTTGTGGCCAGCACAGTGGCGCACACCTGTAATCCCAGCAGTTTGGGAGGCTGAGACAGGAGGATCGTGAGTTCAAAGCCAGCCTCAGCAAAAAGCAAAGTGCTAAGCAACTCAGTGAGACCCTGTCTTTAAATAAAATACAGAATAGTGCTGGGGATGTGGCTCAGTGGCCGAGTGCCCCTGAGTTCAATCCCTGGTACCCTCCTCCTCAAAAAAAAACAAAAAACATTTCTCCTGTTGTTAATAGCATCAGTTTTCTTTTGAGAATTATCTCTACTTTCTCCACCCAATCCCCACCACCACCATTAAAGGGTCAGGCATGAGAAAAAGCTAGATCTATAAGCCTTTCTCAAACAATTCAAAATTTCAAGAGCTATGATGCAATTGCTGGGAAGAAAACAAAGCTAAATTCATTAACTTCACTGTTTGCATCTCAAGAGCATTGTCAAATAATTTCTGTTTTCCAACCCCCCATCCCCAAGTTGCCTGGTTCCCCCAAGCCTTCCCTTTGATTCTGTGAGTCTTTTCTAAGAGTTTCCTCTTGAGTTGAATAATCACTTTCTGTTACTTATAACTAGGGCACTTTGATAAAGTCAGGAGAAAAAGAGAGAGAGAGATAATATATTGGTCAGATTTGTGCCACTATAACAATTACCTGAGATAATCAACTTATAGAGAGAAAAGTTTTGTTTTGGTCCACACTTTTGGAATTTCCAGTTCAGTTGACTCCTTTGCTTTAGGGCCTCGGGTGAGGTGGCACAACATGACAGCATCACATGACAGAGCAGACCCATTCACCGAATGACCAGGACAAAAATGAGAATGAGTTCGAGTCCAGGATCCCACGCTCCCTTTCAAGCCACTCCCTCAATAACCTAGAGACCTCCCACTAGGCCCCAACTCTTAAAGATTTTATCACTTCCAAACAGCATCACCCTGGAGTCCAAGCCTCCAACACATGGGTGTTTGGGGGGACATACAAGTTCCAAGTTATAGCAGAGAATAAGATGGCTGGCCTAAGAGTAGGAAGAGAACCAAGACAATGAACTGACAAGAAGCCATAGTGAATGCTTATCAATTTTTTTTCTGGGGGTGGGTATGCAGGGACTGAACTCAGGGGCACTCGGCCACTGAGCCATATCCCCAGCCCTATTTTGTATTTTATTTAGAGACAGAGTCTCACTGAGTTGCTTAGTGTCTCATTTTTGCTGAGGCTGGCTTTGAACTCACACTCCTCCTGTCTTAGCCTCCCAAGCCGCAGGGATCGTAGGCATGAGCCACCGCACCTGGCTCTTATCAATCTTCTAGGAAAGATAAAGAGAGCAGACATTCAGTTCCCCCTTTTATTTGTTGGTGTTGCAAGTAAAAATACCAGTTGTCCCCTAATATTCTTTCTCCCTCAATTACACAATCCCTGGTTTTAACGAGGCACATGGATGCTCAGAAAAAAAGCAAACTTGTCTGATTTCCCTACCAAATAAGTATAGCCATGCAATTAAGTTCTAGCCAATTAGAACTGAAGAAAAATTATGTGCAACTTCTGAAAAGTAGCCCAGAAAAACAGGGTCAGATTATTTTGTTATTTCCTCCTTCCTCCTTTCTATGTGGAAAGCAAAAGTGGCATCTGGAGTGTGAGCAGCCATTTTGGACTATGATGTTGCTAAACATGGTATCACAGCAGAGAGAGAAGGAATTGGATGGAACACCTGGTGATCATGGAGCCACCACATCAGCACTGGGCTCCTGACCCCTCCGCATTTAATTTAGGTAAGATAAAAGAAAAGTTGTATCTTGCTTACGCATTACATGGCACACATGTGTGCATATATGTGTCTCACATGTAGTCAGACCTAATCTAACTGATATGGGAAGGCTGAGGGGGTCTTCCATATAATATAGAGTTGTGGTAGATGACCAGGCCCTGTTTCCATTCAGAATCCCAAATGCAATATTCTCCTCCTTCTTCTTTTCTGTCTACCAAGCCATGTGCCTGTGATCTAGGCTTCATCATATAGATGCTCCTAGAACTCTTGATATATAATAATTGATGCAAAGACAAAGGAGAGTGAATATCCCCATTAGGCAGTCACAAGTCATCCATGTGGGATGAGCATGAATTTTCTGACCCCATTTCCTGTTAAAAAAAATAAAAAATAAATGGTTGTTGAACTGCCAACTTGTCTAGGTCAAGGTGTACTGGAGTACTCTGGAAACATAATGTTTGGTCTGGTTGTTTTTGTTGTTTTGTTTTGTTTTTTAGAAGGAAAGAGTCTTTGGTATATTCTTGGTCCAAAAGTAAGAGAAATTCAGAAGGGAGAGAGATTGAAGATGAAATATAGAAAATATCATGCTTTCCTATCAGACTTTCCCTGTCCCCATAAATTAGGCTTCATAAAGGTTTCTTTCATTAGAGACATTCAGAGCACCTTTGGCTTTTAAGGGATAGAGTAAAATCCAGCTCCCCTGGCACCAGAGCATGAGGCTTTCTAGCTCCCCAGGAACCCATGTGTGAAGACCATCTTCTGGTTAGGACAGACTTGAAGCCGTTAGGGTCTCTGGTGGACTGAATCGTAGCTCCCAATGTCCATATCCTAATCCCCAGAAACTGAATATATTACTTTGTGTGGTAAAAGGGACTTTGAAAATGTGATTACATCAATGGCTATCAAATGGGGAGGTTACCCTGAATTTTCCAGATGGGCCCACTGTGGTCACAAGGATATTCCCCAGAGGGAGGCTAGAAGGTCAGAGTGAGAGAAGGTGATGGGACAACAGGAACAGAGGTCAGAGAGTCAGAGATTTAAGGACATTACACAGCTGGCTTTAAAAATGGAGCCAGAGCTTGAGGCACTGAGTTCGATCCTCAGTACCACATAAATGTAAATAAAGATATTGTGTCTACTTAAAAAAAAAAAAAATGGAGCCAGAGGCCACAAGCCAAGGAATGCAGGCTCTGGAAGTTGAAGAAGACTAGAAAATGTTCTCCCCTAGAGCCTCCTCCGGAAGGAGATTTGCTCTGCCGACATCTTGAGTTTTGCTCTGGAAGACCCAATTTGGACTTACGAGCATTAAAATATAATACATTTGCATTATTTTATACAACTAAGTTTGTGGAAATTTGTTAGAGCATCATCAGGAAACTAATACAGCCTTTTTGCTTCATTTCCAGTTAAAGATCATATCAGCACCTGTGCGTCAGTAAGGATCCTTGTCAGTCATTTGGAAGAGAAAAGCTGTAAATGCCTGGACTTCTGCATTCAATCTTGGAACTGGGTTTCACAGCAATGGCAACTTGGGTTTAAATATTAAGAGATACCATAGGACTTGAAGAAACCTTAAAACAAGTTATATTTTGACCCCACAACAGACACCTGGCAATCTCGTGACAGACTTTTCTGCAAACCCCAGTGTGGCACGGATTTGGATTCACCAACATTCCCTGCCCTCTGCTAAGGCCAGCTGTAATGGAGGGAGCGCAGCACTGTACCTACCTTTGTTTTCCTTAATTCTTTCAAGCCTTTGGTAATAAGTGGTTAGAGTGCTGAGGTTTTTAGTCCAGCTTCTTTTTCTTCAACTCTAACCACTTTACATGGAAGAATAGGTTACCATAGTAATATTTTCTGAGCAATAGGTGAGCTACAGTGCACTATTGAAGGTACCCAGGAGAAAATACTAATAACTTCCTGAGAAAGTCTAATCATTTTCTAGAACCTCAGGACTACTAAAACAGAAAGATTGATGAGTTCGCTGGATGATCTGAAAGCAGGTCATCTGCAGCTCATAGAAAATATAGTGTAGGAAGCTACAATCATCCCCAAAAGACCCCCAATCTCCTCATCTTCAACCCACCCCTACAAGCTGCTCAAATGACAAGTGATAAATCTAAACTGGGGGGAAATATTTGATCAAACTTGTATCAAAAATTGCTATATCTCAAAGCTCTCCTTGTAGGAATTTTGGGAAGATCATGGCAGCTATGCTAAAATAATGTTTGAATTTTTCTGAATTCCAACAGAAAAACAGATAGAACACCTGGAAAGGAAAACCAAGAAGCCTTGGACAACATTTACAACAAACAGGTGACAAAGTATCACCTTGAATCCCAAAATACAAGTGGGTGAGACAGATCACCAAAGAGCCACAAGCCCTTCTTGTCATGGGTTATGTGTGGAAGGAAGCCCAGGTGGGTGACCTCAGCTGAAGGGCCTGAGAACAAGAGAAACCAAAAGAACCCAACTCAAGAACAGAAGCTGAACCAGGAGATTTCTCCCGCTCAGTAGTGAGGGAGGGCAAGGGGTCTTATATGAAGTCTGAAGGGCCTAGAGGGTCTAGTCCCTATGAATTTTAAAAAATTTATTTCTTTTTATTTCTTGTTTCTTTGTTTTGAAGCAGGGTAACTTTTCTGCATAGCTTTGTTGAGATATAATTCACATACTACACAATTCACGCATTTGAAGTGTATAATTGGGTGATTTTTCACATATTCACAGTTATGAAACCATCATCACAGTTTTAGAACACTCTTGCTGCTTCAAATAAACAGCAACAAAAGAACCCTATACCCATTTGCCATCAGTCCCCATTTCCCGCCTGCCCCCAGCCATTGGCAACCACTAATCTCCTTTCTGTCTTTATAACTTTGCCTGGTCTGGACATTTCCTATAGGTGGAATCATACAGTGTAGCCTTTGAGGTCTGCTTCTCTTAGTTATCACAGTGTTGTCAACATTCATCCACATGTAGCAGTGTTCCCTTTTTATAGCTGGGTTCTATGTATGGGGATACCAGCTCTTGTTTATTCATCTGATGGATGAATGGCTGCTTCTACCTTTTGGTTACTATGAATAGAGTTTCTGTGAACACTTGAGTACAGCTTTTCTTTGAAAACCTGTTTTCAATTCTTTGGGATATTTTGTTAGGTATAAAATCCTGGGTCATATGGTAATAATTCTGTTTAGCTTATTGAGAAACTTTCAGACATTTTTCCATAGCTGTTGTCATATATAACAAACATTTAGTTTGTTATATATGACAACAGAATGCATTACAATTCATATTACACATATATAGCACAATTTTTCATATCTCTGGTTGTACACAAAGTAGAGTCACATCCTTTGTGTCTTCAAAGATGTACCTAGGGTAATGATGACCATCACATTCCACTGTCTTTCCTACCCTTATGCCATTGCACTGTTTTACATTATATTATCTGAGGTTCCAGTTTCTCCACATCCTTGCCAACATATCTTATTTTTCATATATGTGTGTGTGTGTGTGCGCGCGTGTATGATTATATTAAGCTGTCCTATGATGTCCAATGATGTCTCATTGTGGTTTTGATTTGCATTTTTTTAAATTACTAATTTCATTTAGAATCTTTTCATGGGTTTGTGCGCCATTTGTATATCTTTGGAGAAATATCTGTTCTGATCCTTTGCATTTTAAAAAATTGGGATTTGTTATTTAATGAAAAGAGTTTTTTATATATTTTGGACCCTAGATTTAACAAATAATGATTTTCAAATAGTTTTTTCCACTATATGGGTTGTCTTTTCACTCTCTTAGAAGTATTACAAGTGTTTATTTTTTAAGGGGGACCAGGGATTGAACCCAGGGGCACTCAACCACTGAGCCACATCCCAGCCCTATTTTGTATTTTATTTAGAGACAGGATCTTGCTGAGTTGCTTAGCACCTGACTGTTGCTGAGGCTGGCTTTGAACTCATGATTCTCCTGCCTCAGCCTCCCGAGCTTCTGGGATTACAGGCATGCACCACTGCACCCAGTTTTTACAAGTATTCTTTGATACACAAAAGTTTCAATTTTGACCAAGCTCAATTCATCTATTTTTTTTTTATTTTCTTGTGCCATTCATCTCATATTTAAGAACCCATTGCCAATGTCACAAGGATTTTCCTCTATTGTTTTCTAAGAGTTTTATAGTTTTTACTCTTCATTTCAGTCTTTGATCCATTTGAGTTAAATTTTTTTAGGATGTTAGGTAGGGATTCAACTTCATTCTTTTACATTTGGATATCCAGTTGTTCCAGAACCATTTGTTGAAGAAGATATTCCTTTCTCCCTTTGAACAGTATTGGCACAACTGTCAAAAATCAATTGACTGTAGATATATGGGAGTTTTTCTGGATTTTCAACTCTTTCCCATTGGTCTATATGTCCATCCTTATGTCAACACCACACTATTTGGATTATTGTAGCTTTATATAAATTTTGAACCTTCAACTTTATTCTTTATTTTTAAAATTGTTTCAGCTATTCGAGGTCTCCTGGGATTCCATATGCATTTTAGAATTGGGTTTTCTATTTCTGCAAAAAAGGATATTGTGATTTTAATAGGGATTTTATTGAATCTGTAGATCTCTTTGAGGAGTATTACAATTTTAACAAGATTGTCTTCCACCGCGTGAACATAAGCTGTCACTTCATTTATTTAGGTCCCTTGAAATTTCTTTCAGCAATTTCTCACTTAGAAGTCTTACGTCTCTGTATTTAAATTTAGCCCTACATATTTCATTCCTTTTAATGCTGTTATAAGTGGAATTGTTTCATTTCCTCTTCAGAGTACTCTGGCTTTATATGAAAATACAACCCATTTTTGCATTCCAATCTTGCATCCTTCAACTTTGCTTAATTCATTAACTACCTCTTAATATTTTTTTTTAATTCTTTGGGTTTTCTATATATAAGGTTATGCCATCTTCATTTCTTCTTCATAAGAAAGAAGTTTTACTTCTTTCTTTTCAACTTAGATGCCTTTTATTTCTTTTTCCTTGCCTAATTGCTCTAGCTGGTACTCTACTGAACAAAGATGGCCAAAGGGCATCCTTATCTTAACATTAGATAGAAAGTTTCCTTCCTTTACCATTGAATACAATGTTAACTATGGGATTTTCATATACACTATCTATTGTAAGGAAAAACTTCCCTTCCAAAGAATGTTTTCTCTTAAAAGAATGTTGAATTTGTTAAGTATTTGCCATATATGCAAGTAAATTTTTTTAAAGATTTGGAAACTAAATGTCATCTTGTCCCTCTATTTCATATTCAATTGACACAAGAAAGAATACCAAGTTTATTTTCCACTCTGATTGACTTCCATTAGCCCTTTTTGAAGTCATTAATGGAAATAATGACTAATATTTTTGAGCAAGTTTCTAAAGAAAGAATTTCCAGACTGAAATACATAGCATCTGGAATACTTTCGTCAGCTATATTATTGTATCCTCAATAAAGAACACCAGGATACTTCAAGTTCTGTGTCTTACCAAGAGAATATAAATGTTAACTCAAAAACATAATAAGAACTAGCATCTCTTTTGACTGGATGAGCTCAACTGTCAAATGGCTCAGGAAACAGAGAAATCTTCACTGGACTGTACAACCACAATACAAGAAACTCAAAAAAAAGAGAAACACAGACAGCCAGAAAATCCTCTATGACAAGATTATCTGAGAGGTAAAAAGAAATGAGGTTGTAAAGCTTCAAAACACAAGGTGTGAGCAGTAGCTTAAGCCCATGAAAATGTTTTGGTTGTTAAGTTTTTCATTCCTTCATGTGTGATTTGAAGTCCACCTATTTCCAAAAAGATTTACAGGGGGGAAAAAAAGAAATGATAAATAACAGAAATAGGGAGATAACTTATAAAATTATAGCAAAGGAAGGGAAAGTATATGCAAAAATAATTTCTGCAATTAAGAATTAAATTTGAGGCCCAATGAGAAAACAGATAACATGAAGAAATGGTAATCTTTATACTCTGCTGGTGGAACATACAATAGGGCAGCCAAGGTGGAAAATAATTTGGCAGTTTCTCAATAAATTAAACATAGAACTACCCTCTTATCCAGCAATTCTACTCCAAAGGAAATAACAACAAGGACACAGACTTATTTATGCACCCCTGTTTATGACAGCATTATTCATAATAGCCAGAACTTGTAAACAACCCCAATAGATGAATGGACAAACAAAATGTGGTTTCTACATCCCAGTTGAAGGCTATTTAGCCTTAAAAAGGAATCAAATTCTGATACATGCTAAAAAAAATAGTAGAACCTTGAAAACATATGCTAAGTGAAAATAACCAGACACGAACAGATAAATGTTGTACAATTTCACTTATATGAAATATCTAGCACAGGTAAAACTCAGAGAAAGAAAGGCTGAGGGAGAAGAAAATGGGGAATTGGTTAATGGTGAGAGTTTCTGTTTGGAGTAATGAAAAAGTTTGGAAAGTTGAGCACATTGTTAATTTAATTTATGCTACTGAATCATACACTTAAAAATGTTTAAATGAAAACTTTTGTATTATATATGTGAGTGTATGTGTATAAAACCACCTTGATAAATCAGAGAACAAAAATTAAGTATGATTCTAAGCATCCTGATGCCCAAGGCAAGAGTGAAATGAGATTAACATGCTAACAAGTTCAAGGTTGCTGGCTCTTGTCCCAGAAGAG